CAGGCCGGGCGATGGTGGCGCACGCCTTTAATCCCAGCACTCGGGAGGCAGAGGCAGGCGGATCTCTGTGAGTTCGAGACCAGCCTGGTCTACAAGAGCTAGTTCCAGGACAGGCTCCAAAGCCACAGAGAAACCCTGTCTTGAAAAACCAAAAATAAATAAATAAATAAATAAATAAATAAATAAATAAATAAACAAACTCAGGGTTGATGATGCAGTTCAGGACAGGTGCTTGCCCTGTGTGTGCCAGGTCCACCATTGCCTTTAATAAATGAAAGCTCAGGAAATATGACTGGACCTTAGAGAACATAGGAAACGCCAGTGCAGTAGCTTGTCACGGTTGTCCTCTCTGTGTGGGTGTGTGTCTTGGTTCCTTCATTAATCTGTGGCCCTGCTCCTGAAACATACTAAGCCAAAGAAAGAGACACTGGGCTGGAGAGGTGATCAAGATTGTAGCCCTGCCTTTGAGGGTCTCTCCATCCTCTACCGACCTACACTGTTCCCTCCGTCCCCTGTGCATAAAGAAGTTGAGTAGAACGGGAAAGTTGCCTGGAGTTTCAGGCATCAAAAGCAGACAGGAACAGTCAGAGAATGGTGTCTATGCAGCCATGTTTCCATCCTTCTAAAGTCTGTTTCCCCACACCTTAGAATATTCCCTGATTCTTACCCTGCTGTAACTTTTTGTAGAATATAATGAGAGGTTATTCATCAAATGAGTATTGGACTCTTTTTTCTTGTCTGACTATAGCATGCAGGAAAATAAAACCAAGAATATTTTCAAATGATTCTTAAAGTTCACTGAAAAAAAAAACAGTAATCAATCAGGCATGGAGACAGGTATCTACATCTCAGCACTTGGATGGAGAGGGCCAGGAGAATCAAGTTCAAGGCCAGACTTTACAATATGGGATATTTCAAGACCACTTTGACTACATGAGAGACCCTTTCTCAATTACACCCATATATTCGGTGCAAACATATGGTGTGTGTGTCCTTAATATTTTCTGTATTTTTACATGTGTCATTGGAGCTTCACTCTGTGATATTGGGTAGTAGGGTCTGTGGTATTTCTACTTTACTGTTCTCTCTCTTTCCCCCCTTCCCTGTCTCTCTCTCTTATTCTCTCTCTCCATCTATCCCAGTCTATCCACCCTAGCCCCCCCCCCCGTCTGCTCCATCCCTCCTTTCCTTCTTCCCTTCCTCCCCTCCTTCAGTTTTCTGACCACTAGGATATGAGTTTGAACACACCTCCCCACACACACACACTGCCTTGGATTGAAACTGAGCAAAAATAAAAGTCCTCCCTCCAGTTGTATTTTCTCAAGACTGTGTCACGATGAGGAAAACCTAACACAGCTAGGAAGTGATGGACTTAGACTCTACCTTCCATAATGCCCCTCACTTTATTTTTATTTATTTTTTTTGGTGGACACTCAAACTCTTGGAGTTGAGTATATATGAAAAGCTACCCAATCTCCAAACATTGCCAATATTAGGAATTGTTCTGTCTTCTGTTGGCAAATGGTCTCTCAAAAATGGCTTAAGTCTTCAAAAACTTTTGTATATGTTAATTGAACTATGGGTACATGTTAAGTTTTTGAGACAGGGTCTTACTCTGTAGCCAGGCTACCCTGAAATTCACTGTGTAACCCATGTTGGCCCCGACCTCACAACAGTTCCTGCCTCAGCTGCCTGAGGACTGGGATTGCAGATGTAATCCACCATGTCTGATACCCCGGATATTTACTATGTCAGAAATTAAAAATTCAGCATTTGGCTAAATCTCAGTAGTAGACTGCTGGGTGAAGAGAGGCTCCTTGCCAGGCATGTACAAGATGCCAATTTGATTGTGTGTGCAAAACAGAAAAAAATGAACTCTGCATTTGATTTCTAGCACCAGAAAAACCCTTTAAGTTAAAAATTAAGATAATACATTAAAGTTAACTATTAAGAGTATACATGCCCTTTTAATAATGGAAACAACTCTTTTACATTCTGTCTTTTGGAACATACATGTCATTTACTTCTAGAAAACTCCATTATACAGTCTTGAGAGAAGTAGAGTAGAAAAGAAAGAAATACTTCTTAGTAATGTTATTAAAACTAATGTTTGGCTCCTAAGCTTGACCTCTTGGACTAATTGGTACTCACAAGTTTCCCTGAACCACACTCTGAGAATGAATGCTTGAGAGGGAATCTGCTGGCTGATCTTACTTAGCAACTTAATGAAGGAATTATGGCAAACCCCAAAGAAACAGTCTTGATGACATGATTTTTAATTAAGCTACTGGAGAATGATCAGTTTCATTCAGTAAACACAGTGGGACTATAATTTGTATTAAATATGCCAGAAAAATTTATTCTACTACTTTGTACCTTGTTTTCTTATATTTAATATGTTTAATGCTAAAAGAGGTTAAGTCGCTAGGAAACGATACTTGAGAAAGGCACAAAAGAGCAAGAACACCATTTGTAGACCCATGATCTGGGGTAGGATCTTGGCCTGTGTACGTTCAACAGTAAAAAAAAAAAAAAAAAAAGCACTAATAGCAGAGAGAAACGTAGTTTGTTTGTATTGACCATTTAAGCCTCACAGTGACCCTCTGACTAAGGGGACCTTCTCTTTCTCCCTTCCCTCTTCCTCTTTCTTATCCTATTGGATAGAAAGAAAGGTTCAGCAGTTGCCCGCTCCCACAGCTAGTAAGTAGCTGTATAACTGATAACCCTCTGGCTCTAAAGTTGATGCCTCTCCCATTCTAATGGTGGATGGCTTTTCTTTACTAACCTTTTTTATGACAATTAAGAGAGCACCATGCATGTGGAGGAAAACTGGAACATTCTAAGGACTTCCTCAGAAACACAATTCCTCTTTCTCTTTTTCCTGTTTATATTCAGGAGATCATTTATCCTCTTTTCCTCTCTGTACCTCCTCCTCCTTATGGTTCCTGCCTGACATTTAACCTTTGGTTTGTGAAGGCCCATTAGATAGAAATTACTTTTCCTCTTCTCTGATCCAGTGGTATGAACCCTTGCATTCCTTGGTTTGGCTTCACTTTATGTCAGACATCAGGTGTGAATTATCCACACAGTTTGGGGCTCTCCATGATAAAACCATGCTGCAGTCTGACCGAGGCATTCTTCCATGGCTCTCACTGTCACTCAATCCGAGTATACTATTATTTTCAGTTAGAATAGTTAGAACGTTTCCTCCTTTCATTATAAGAGGAGCAAAAAGAATAAGAGACTGATAACATTTACCATATGTTCATCTATTTATTTTTTTATCTGTCTGTCTACTTATTTGTTTGTTTGTTTATTTATTTATTTATTTATTTACTTATTTATATTGTTCTAGAGTTTCAGACTGCCAAAAGATAAAACTGGTACTACAAAGATTGGGGATTTGGCCCCCCAAGACATGAGGAAAGTTTGCCATCTAGCCCTGATTGAACTCACTGCCCTGTATGATGTATTGGGTGTGGAACTCAAACAACAGAAAGCTGTGAAAATCAAAACAAAAGGTAAAGTTAGATTTGGTTCCATAGTAGTGAAAATGGACTTAGCTCTTGGGTGGTACTCTTGGTGATGGGGCTGAAGGCAGCCAGATCAACTGGTGCTTGATTGTGTCTAGAGTTACAATTCTCAGTGTTGCTTTTGAACTTTTTATAAATTGATAAGCAGAGAATATACAGCCAAATGATTTCATTCTCGCAAAAGGGAATTATTATTCAGGGAATTGTAATGCTCATGTTTTCCTCGTCAGAAACTGTGTGTTTGAGAAAGAGACCTTTGGCAGATGTGTCTGTCTCCAAAACCAGATCTCAAAAAACACCTGCTAAGGTGTTGGTCTTGAGTGATTACTAAAGTTCTTCCGCAATGAAATACTGGTAGTAACAATCTGTTCTTATGTTCTCTTTCTTTCATTCTCTTTTTAAATTTAATTTATACATCTTAGTATCGTGTGCATTTAATGTACATGTGAGTGTGGACATGCAAGTGCCACAATGTGTGCATGGACGTCAGAGGACAACTCCCATGAGACAGTTCTCACCTTCCACTGTGGTTTCCAAGGATCAAGCTCTGGCTTTCCAGTTTGTATGGCATGCCCTTTGACCTGAAGAGCCATCTCTTTAGTCATATACATTGTATTTTTAGCTTTTGACAAAAACATCACTCCCCCCAGTAAATAAAATAATGCCATTGTCTGATGCAGAGCTAGCACATTATACTCTTTTCCCACGTGTCTTCTCCATTTTTGCAAGCAGCTTGCTTGCCTGTTACATCAGCAGACTAATTCTGATAACATGATAAAGAACAGACATCTTTTGTCATTGCTTCCCTTTATTTTCTTAGTCTGGAAATCCAGCTAATTCTCTACTGACAAAGCTTTCCCCTTTAGGAATCTCTGTCCTCTTGTTTAACCTTATAGGTGTCTCCTAAAGAGGCACTGGGAATGAGGACTTGCGTTGCTATGGTAACACAAGCCAAGACATGTATGTACCTGATGTAAGTTATAGAGACAGTTTCTCGGTAGGATTGAAGTGTACCTACCATTCTTGTCCTTCCTGTGCATCCCTGCCATGGTGGACCCTAAAGACCTCATTCTGTGCTTAGTTACGGGAGTATTTTAGCACAAGCCTTGCAGTGGTGACTTTCTGAGTTCTTTGGTGCTTCTGGTTTCCCCTACATCCCTGTGAAGAATGACAACTTCAAATACTTCTGGCCAAACTCATCATGGTGCTTCTTTCAATGATAAATTAGAAATACAGTTTAAATAGCTATGACCGCCTGCCCAAGATGTTAAAATGGCTTACAGAGGTGTTTGTTGCTGTTCTTGTTGTTCATTTGTTTATTGTTGGTGTAATTTTCAGTTTTGTTATATACTGAAGAGAGAAATACTAAAATGTTCTTATTAAAGCTGTCACTGTTTAAATAGAAATAGAGAAAGTCCTTTGTAGTTTTTAAAAATATATTCTTCTATTTTGGGTTTTTGGAGTTCTTGAGAAAACATACCCTTTTAATGGTCAAACTGAAAGGCAATTTATTATTTTTTAAATGGCTTCTCAGTGTCCAATGCCTGACCTTAACCAAAGGCCAGTCCCTTTTCCTTGTCCTCAGATGAATGTTATTTACTTGATTGTGTCATTCCTAAAAAACAGACCCCTCGCTTCTGTGGTAAACATCAACCCAGAAGAGACAAGCAAAGGTTGTAAGTAGTTGTGTTCATTTCAAACTTAAGGCAAAAAGCTTGAGTTTAGAAAACGTTCAAATATTACCAATTATTACCCCCCCCACACACATACACACACACACACACACACACAGAGAGAGAGAGAGAGAGAGAGAGAGAGAGAGAGAGAGAGAGAGAGAGAACAAGGGGGGGATTTAAATGTAAGAATACTAGATATCTACTACATTTTTGAAAGACATATTTATAGATCAGGATTGTAATTCTAAAAAAGTAAATATTTATGTTTAGCTGTATCATGGAATGTTCAATGTCCATTTTGTAAAGGAGAGATATCTGGTGTTTGATTATATGTCTTAATTTGATTGCACTTCGTCAACTGTTCAAATAATTTACATGTCCTCATGGTAGTTTGGTTTCCTTATGCAGCAGTTGGCTCTAATTGCCATCATTTGTTCAGATACCTATTGCTTCTGGATTGTCTTAGAAAACAGACCCATGCTTTGGCTGTGTTGTATCTACTTAATGGCTTTGCGGTATCATTTTTTTAAGTAGGTGCTCAATAAATAATCTGATCAATAAATGACAATGTAACAAATCTCATATTTCCAGTTTTATTGCTATTCTATAGGTTGATGAAGTGAAGAGCTTTTGTTTTCTTGTTGCAGACGCTGGTCTTTTTGGTGTTCCATTAACCATGTTATTAGAACAAGATCAAAGGAAAGTGCCAGGAACTCGAATACCCTTGATCTTTCAAAATGTAAGTAGGCCAGACCTGGCCAGTGCAGCAAGAACATACTTAGGCTAATGGTGGCATTTTACACTCGGACTGTTCTAATACAGTTTTCCAATTGATATGCTGTTTTATTTTATACTTTGATTTTCTATTCAGGAAGCAAATTTGTTTCAAGGGCTCGTAATTTTTATCTCATGGTGATACTTTCTGTGATATTACTGTAACTGTGATTACCTGGCATCATTTTCCTGTCTTATATTAGCTGCTTTTGTGTAATTGAGATTTCAGTTCTATAATACATAGGAGTGGGAACTGTGTATAAATTCCCAGGGAATTGAATCCTCATGAATATTTCATGCATGCATGTATTTCTCAAGCTTTCCTATTTGCAGTGAGGATGTCCAACTTAATTTACCAGTGCCCACGTCCAAAGCAGGCAAAGAAACCATAAAGTAGAATTAGAAAATGATTGCTAAACTATCAAGTTGCTTGTGTAGTCAACACTCAATTATTTATAAGGGGATTATCTGGAGCAATAAAAAATATTCAGCTCAACCTCTGAGCCATCATTGTGCAGAGGAACAGATTACACTTGATAAAACCTACGATGACACAGTAAAGAAGGCGGGCCCTACAGTCATGGACTACCCAATAGATTCCTTGCCAACAGCCTCAGCATGTCAATATCAATAATTTCTCAGGATAGTAGAGACTGTTTTCAGATGACCGACTTAGCCGGTCCTAAGGCTCAGTATGTTTCGTAGTTACTGTTCTGTTCCAAATTGGTTACTACCGTTGGTTAGCCGCTTGCTGTTGGTGTTTTATTCCACCTTCCTATCATTGCATCCAAACATATCTGATGTGTCTCTTGCTGAGTATTCTGGAGAGTTCTCCTGCCACGGTCTGATGAACTGTGTCTATATTAATAATTGATAACAGTTTTTCTGATTAATGGGATCCAGAAGTCTGATGTGCGGACCAAGACAGCAGGAGAACAACTTAGGCAAGAGTTAATGTTGCAGTCTTGAGGAAGAATAGTTTCTTTGCAAACCTCAAGCTTTGTTTTTTGCATCTTCACTTGATGGGATGGGGCTCACCATACTGCATGGCTTAAACTCTGCAATTCAACACTTGGCACCTTCTAAAAGATATCATCATGCAGCATCTAGATCAGTGTTTGACTGAACCACTGGGCACTCAACAGTAATCAGATTGGCACACAAGTTCTTTATCACATGGGGGAAGTATGAGTTTAGTTTCATATAAGATATTTCCACAGTAGACCGAATACCGACTGCTTATGGTCTCTTAAGAGAAAGCTTTCTTCAATTTTCCCTAAAATTTGATTCCATTTATTTAATTAGTTTTTTACAATTTTGTTCTCTTGAACACACCTGAGACTCCTGTGGCATCCTCTCTAATTTGTACTTCAGTTTTGTTCCTATTAAAAAGAGGAGGCCTTTAAGGAGTGGAGGGGTAGGCAGCCATCACCAGTTTGCATCCACTTTGTGCTGTAAGAAAGAAGCTGCAGAGATGTGTTGTGAGAAGCATCATTTGATTACCAGCGCACAAGCCCATTGTCTGTCCTTCCATTTTGTAAAAGGGGGAAAAGAAGGAAGCAGTTGGTTTGCAGCAACATTGGCTCTCAGACTACAGAGGATTCATCTTCAATGTGAAGGAAGAATGTCTGCAGGTGGCACTAGCCAAACCTTATTTCATATCAGTCAATTTCAGTTTTTACTTTTCTTGATCACCCCCCCCTCCCAAAGCATGTTGTTCAAACCATGTTCTTAGAAGGGGATGGATAAAGAAAAATGTTCATTTTACTTCAAAGTGCATTTTCTGATCAAATTTTCAATCCAATGTCTTTTTGTCAAGATGGTCAGTAAAATCAGTGTTGTGCCAAAGTGTTTGATTTCATTTCCATATTGGTTTTCACCACACACACACACACACACACACACACACACACACACTCTACATACACATACACACTACATGATTTACATTTTGAGAGATATTATAGGTCACTGATAAAGTATGGAATACCTGTATCTCCAAACAGCATATTTGAGTATAGTTATTTTTGTCTATTTGAGGTCTTGAAAATTTAAGGAAAGCTAGAATGTTTCCTGTTTGTGTGTGTGTGTGTGTGTGTGTTGATTAGTAAGGTTTATTGGAATATAGCCATATTCACTAGCTGATACACTGTCTGCTTTTCACACATAGTTGCAAAAACACAGTATTAACAATATTTTCTATTGGGGGTGTTATAGGAACTTAAAATACCTTTGCTTTTAAAAAGCAATGTCCCCAAAGTATTTGGAATGTTCTGAGCCATCATAAAATGGTTACTATCCAAATAGATACCGAAAACAACTAGCTTTTTAATTAATGAGTAGTGAGCCACATGTAGTATGTGGCTATCATCTACCACGAGAAATTATAGTCGGAGATGTAGCTCAGCTGCCCTGGGTGTGAATTCCATCACTGCCCCATGCCCCAAACCATAGTTGGATTTTGCAAGCATTCTCTGGAATTATCACAGCTGTTTAATCCTCTAAAGCAAATTTTACTCTCTCTCCCCATGAGTATTTTAATTGGGTCCTTGACATCACAGGAACCACATACATAACTCAAAACATGGTGTTGTCAGAAACCCGAAGACCCGATGAAGGCAGTTTTCTCATTCAGACCTGATAACCACACCTGCACTCTTGTGGGTTACTACTTCCTTCAGGGGGACAAAGACCACTCTACTTCCAAGTCATCCAGGACAGGCTTCTCCTGAAATTGGCAACTGGGTACTGCACGTGCTCGGAACTCCACAGGACACAGCAGCCTTGGCAGAGGCCGCAGAAGAAAGCATGTTTCCTATTATTGTAAAAGCCAGTACTCAGCTAATTAATAATGTAGCGAAAACATGTGATTTTCCAAGTGAGAAATAGGAGATAGTACATGATACTGTTCCATGAAGCACACACATCCCTCTTGAGGCTGGGATCTAACATTAGAGAACACTAGAAATATATTCAAATGTAGGATTCAGAAATGAATCCCATTCGGCTGTTTAGCAGCCCCGCTTTTCTTCTGTACTTAATGACAGTGAGAAGTGTAGACTGCTCAAATCTGACAGACTGCAGCTGCCCGCATTCAATTGGATGATTTAACAGGACATGCAAATATTTTATGGGGGGAAATAAAATGTAAATTGGTTGTACATGGAATATTTTAAAATTTGGCATGAAATACTTTATAATGTCCTTCTAATCTCAAACAATTCCTAATTCTTTTCGCGCCGAGTTTCTCTACAGCGGTTCTTGAACAATGTGGTCTCAGAAATTATTTGAATTTGAAAGATTGATGTGCTTCTTTGAGTGGTCAGGGGTTGATGCTAGAGTCAATAATGTATTATTAGAACTTGATGCCGTTATTGGCATTTTCTCGGAATCCCTCTGTATCCGTGAATTTCCTGGTCAAAATCTACTCATAGGATAGGACAGATAAGTTCATTAAGGCAAAGAAATCACCATCATTTCCAGGTCCACATGCTATGGCACATTGGATTTTGGAACATGTAGACAGAAGTCCACCCCGCTCCCATTCCCGAGGATGCAAGGCTTTCTCATAAGAGGCACTTTTATATGCAAGGGGAAAGCAATAAGGTCTGTGTGGTCTGTGGAGCCCAATTAATCATTAACAGGGAATTCCCTGAAGGAAACAACATTCTTTTGCACCCTGAAGGATTTTATGTCCCAAGGTGTGCAGAGAATATTAAAGAAAGATTGGAGATACGGGTAGGCCGCATCTGGCTAAAGGGGGGTAGGCTATAGGAAAGAAGCTCCTATGTAGTAAGTGCCCTGTATTTGTCAGGAGGAGGTGGAAAGTGATTTCCCTAAATGTCACAGAGGATGCTCTGCCCTCTGTAAGTTCCATGTGCTACCCAAGGAATGTGCAACCCAGGTTTTTCAACGGGGAAGCTCCCTGTCAAGAAGTAGACCACTTTTACTGTCTGCACAGCCTTTTAACAATTGCTTCTGGAATATTTCCTACCTGTCTGATTTTTGTGATTTGTTTTTTAATATTTATTTACTAATTAGAAAAAATTGGGTGTATTTGTGTGGGGGTATGCGCATGTGAAAACGGGTGTCTGCAAAGATCAGACGCATCAGATCCCCTTCACCTGAAGTTCCAAGTAACTGTGATCTGAATTTGAGATCTGAATTTGAGTCCTCTGCAAGAGCAGTTCATGCTCTTACCTACCTAGTCATGTCTCCAACCCTATGGCTTCTACATTTTCATTTTAGTTTATTTTAGTGGAGTCATTGAAGTAGATATGTACCCACTCATTGAGTACTGGCATTTAGAATCCCCATTTGAAAGCATTCTTCTTCAAGATTACCACCAGTGGCTTAAAATGAATATTAGCAACCATTTTTTTCATATAAAAGTATTGTTTCTTGAAACAAACTAGGCACAGTATATAAGTGTGCAAATACTGGAATTGTATGATATTTATTTGATTGCACAATGCATGTCGCTGGAAAAGCAGAATGGTGTTCTGAGTTGCGTTTACACAGTGAACATCTTTCCCCTGATCCTGTGGAGAGTCACAGCTGTTGTGTGAAATACACATTTCTTTTACAAAGGAGAATAAGACCAACTTTTTCAACATTTTATCTCAGGTTTTTGTATGCATAGTTTTGAAGATGTTGCCCCAATAGCACTCAAAGCCTCATCTCAAATCCAGTGCGCATGCCCTCGGAATCAACTTTCACTTACTGATACGGGGGAGGGGGACACATGTTAAACTGTACCTGTTACAAACACCGAGATCAGAATGTTTATTGGCTTACCCACAGCTGATTTCTCGAATTGAAGAAGGCGGTCTGGAAACTGAGGGCCTCCTACGCATACCGGGAGCTGCCATGAGAATCAAGGTAAGTGAAGAAACACTTCAGTTTCTGTTAATGTACAATTTTATTGTTTAATTATGCTTGCACGTTTTAAAGGCCTACTCAGCCTCCCCACCCCTTATTCTTGCTCGCAAAGCCGATAAAATAAAACAAAAAAGCCTCGCAACATCCAGTTTATAGTTTCTCTACAAACCCCTTCTGCTTTTTTCTGTAAGTTTTTATTTTTCCAAATCCCCACATCACCAATTATAATCCTATGATAATGAGAACATCATGACTCAGAGAGGTACTAGGGAGCTGGGTGAGAGATTTAATCAGGATGAGTAATAGCAATTGAGTTTTGATTTTAGAAGGAGCTGGAACATAGCACTCCAGGTGGGGAGCAGATTAAGGCCCTTGACAAGAGCCAGGGAGTTGGCAGTGTTGACAGAAGGAACAGCTAGTCTGATTTTGAAGGCCAGTTAAGTGGATTCAACTGTGCTAACTGGTCCACCCAGCCTGTCGTCATAGACTGGATCATGCTGCAGCTAGCCCCTTGTAAATGATTTAAAGATGATGGGCAAAAGTTTGGTGTCCCCGCCCCACTGACTTTCCTGCAATCCTCGTTCTTGCCCCCCTCCTTCCTTTAGTCTCTTCTTGTCTCGCTCCCTCTTCGTTTCTGCTCTCTCCATCTTTCCTCCTTCCCTGCTCCTTTCTTTTCCTTCCTTTGCTCCCCTTTTACTCCACTCCTAAGTTTTGAGGTAGCATCCATGTTTTTCATCTATTAGAAAAACAAGGGAAAAAAAAAAGAAAGAAAAGAGGGTTGTGTTGGGAGAAGCAGAAGAACAACAGAGGATCTAGTTCAGTAGGGGACCAGTTTCCTAGCATGCAGGGGGCTTAGGGTTCCACCCCCAGCACCATAGCATAAGAAACCAAACAAAGAAAACGTAAGCCAAACCAAAGCCATCTTTTGAGAAAGTGGTTCCAGTAAGAGAAGCTTAAAAGAATTTTTGACATAACAGGGCTTATGCTACATTAAAAATGAATCCAGAAAAAATATTAGTTAGGAACTAACTTGATGTAGTAGCAGGAGGAGGGGGGTTGGCACATCTAGAGTGTTTGAAATGGATGACCTCAGCATCCTCATTCTACATGGATTCCAAACGTTAACCTGAACTAGCAGCAGGATGATGGTACAGTGACGGTAGGTAGGTATCATTATATATTTTTTGTATCCTCTCTATAGGATTTGCAGTTCTCAGGGGTAAAAAATGAGAGGTAACCTTTTGCTTGCCCAGGGATCGATTTATGTGTTTTGTTATGTAACATACCTCGAAATAGTTCAAAAACATCTTCTTAAATTTTAAGTGGTCTGTTTTAATAACAATGACAAATTGTAGGGTCTAGATGATGTGCCTAATGGAAAGTAATTTTAGTCGATCATTTGATTAAACCTTTGCTAATTAAAGTGGGTGAAAATACTTAAACCTTTTTCTTCACTTTGGGTATAATTCCTCCACATAAGGGCAGGCAGGGCTGGGGATGGCATTTTTCTGAGTGACAGACAAATGTTGACTTTTATTACTCTGACCCTTAACAGATTAGATTTCTTGTAAGGTAGAAAAAAAAATAATCATACTCTCAACAGGGGAAAAAATAAACACGTGTGTACTGCTAATTTCTTTCTCCCTCTGTGCCATTCAGAATCTTTGCCAAGAACTAGAAACAAAGTTTTATGAAGGGACTTTCAACTGGGAGAGTGTCAAGCAACATGACGCAGCCAGCCTGCTGAAGCTCTTTCTCAGAGAGCTGCCCCAGCCGCTGCTGAGTGTGGAGTACCTCAAAGCCTTCCAGGCTGTCCAGAGTAAGTTGTTTCCATGTGGAAGTAGCCTGGGAATAGGTACCACTCACACTTACCATCTCAGTGACCACTGGCATCATAGGCCACATCACCAGATGTCTTTGGTTAGATATGTTTCATGGTTGTCAAGGGTTGCTCAAATGCCACACACCATTTGCCTTCGATAAATAAACATACCAGAATGTTCTCTTCAGGTGCAGACTAGGTACATGGCCTTTAAGAACACAATACATCTAAAGGTAAAACCTGGAAACCTCAAGTTTCTCTCTGAACTATGTGAGTCACATAGACCTCCGATGTGGCTTCTTGCCAGGTGTTGAAAGCAGCACACACTGGAGAAGCTGTGAGTTAACAGTTATTATGAAAGCACAAGGAGATATCAGCATCTATGGCCATTTCCAAAAATCTTAAATCCTGGATTCGTGTAGGGGGCTGGAGGATGTTTGACTGCCTCCTTGGTAGAGGGCCATGGGATTCTGGTGTGTGGCCATTCTGTGGTTCTGGAAAATTCCAAATGAAGATAAGTAATCAGTTTTGATTCCTTCCCAGGGAACACAGAGATCTCGCAAGGTTTATATCTTGCTATGGTTGTTCCGTTTACTCCCAGGGGCCATCAGGCAAGGAAACAGTACTGTAATGATATTCAAGTTATCATATCTTTGTCTTCCAAACTGGAAACTTTGTGAGCGAATGAGTGTATTATTAACGATGACAGAGAAGTAGAGTTCCCATTCACAGTGTTGCATGCTGTTCTTTAGGTGTGCAATTTTGGGGTGAATGCCTAAGTTACCTCATGTCGTAGCATTTTTTTTCCAAAAATTCATGAAGACAATGAAAATCACTATTTAAATTATCTCCTTTAAACAAAAACAATCTTTTGGTAAAAATATTCATAGTGATGAAGTTGCATTGTTTTGAATACATTTTCTGGATATGAGTCAAATTTGTTGCTAGCTGACAAAGTAGTGCTGATAATTCTCTAAATCTCTGGAAATATTAGGTTCCAGTGATAATATTATCTACCTCTTAAAAGCTTTCCTTCCTGATAGATTCCTTATTCATGCCACACACATTTATTGGACACCTGCTGTACTCCAGACCCCGTTTTTCCTCTGCCTGCCAGAGCTCTTCTTTTGTATTTTGTTCCTTGACACTGAAAGAGACAAGTTTCAGTGTTAAAGAAGTCCCCTACCCTTGGTAGTATTTCCTGGACAGTCCAGTCTTCTCCATGTTTCCATGGGAGGAGAATTAGCATATGGAAGCTAGAATTGTTTCCAAATCACTGTGGTATGTCTGCAAACATAAGGCTGCGCATCATGTGATCCCAGTTGGAAGCTAGCATCCTAGGACGAAGGGTGCTTGGAGCAGCTGCTTCCTGGATCTCCAGCAAACACTCTCGGGGAGGCTGGCTGCTCAGGCACCACATCTTATGTTTCGCTGTAACGTTGACACCCAATAACTTCTCTTTTTCTTTAGAAATGGAAAAAGAAAGGAAAGTGTTCCCTAAAGTTTTTAGATTTCTTTCATCTCTCTACAGATCTTCCAACCAAAAAGGAACAATTGCAGGCTTTGAACCTCCTTGTCATCCTTCTGCCTGATGCAAACAGAGACACACTGAAGGTCAGCTGGTTAATTTACACTAAATATCCCTTAGAAAGATGCAGAGTAATTTTTTTTCATTATTTGTGGAAAAACACTACAATGCTTGTTTTGGGAACAGCAATATGCATCTAAAATGTGAGAGGGTGCTTTTAAGGACAGATTGAGAGGCAATCTTTCACTAAGTAATTTGCTAGGTTGCTAATTTTATTAATGTTACTGAGGGTTTTAAAGAAGGTTTATTTACTTTATATGTGTATCTGCATGCCTGCCTCTGTGTGTGCACTTACGTATGTACAGGTGCTCATGATAGCCAGAAGAACCCTTGGAGCTGGAGATATGTATGCTTTTAGAGTCTCGCCATGTGGAGGCTGGGAATAGAATGTTGGTCCCTGCAGCAATATCACATGTTCTTAACCACTAAGCCACCTCTCTAACATCTGGGTAGTTTTGTTTTGTAGAATTTCTTTCTTTCTGAGAGAGAGCGAATGTGTGTGTGAGAGAGTGTTCATATGTGTGGGCACACATGTTTATATAGTTGCATGTGCACATAAGTGCATGCGTGCTTGTGTGTGTGTGTGTGTGTGTGTGTGTGGTGGCCAAAGATGAACATTTGGTGTCTTCCTTGATTCTGCCTCTTATATTGAGGCAGGGTCTCTCTTTAAAAATATACTTCTTTGTCTTTGATTTTGTGTATGTGTTTGTCTGTGTGCACCTTTGTGCTTCTGACTGCCTGTAGTGCTTACAGAGGCCACTAGAGAGCACCCGATCTCTTGGACCTTGAATGGCAGGTGGTTTTGAGCCATGTTACATTTGTGTTGCCAACAGGCTCTCTGCAGGAGTAGCAAGAGTTCTTAACTCTTCTAGGCCTGAGACAGGCTGTCTCAACTGAACCTAGAACTTTCTGATGCAGCTAGTTTAGGTAGCTCCCAGGATCCCCAGGTTCTGCCTCCCTCCCATGCATGGGATTACAGGGGCTACAATACCCACTTAATATATAAGTGGGTCTTAGAATCTCAACTCTGGTTCACAAGCTTGTGTAGCAGTGGCTTACCCTCTGAGCATTTCCTTGATGCAGTTGGTGATGCATTCCTATAATTTCAGCACTTAGTAGGCTGAGGCAGGTGGATCTCTTTGAGCTCAAGGCCAGCCTGGTCTACTGAGCAAGTTCCAGGACAGGTTCCAAGGTTCCAAAGCTACAGAGAAGCTCTGTCTCAAACCCTACCCTGTCAAAAAAAAAAAAAAAAAAAAAAAAGTAATTTGGCAAGCTACCCTAGCTGGGCTTGAACTTAAGACATATTCCTGCCCCTGCCACCATGCACCACCACTGCTAGTTCTAAGCCTTGCTTTTTCAATTTTCACAATGATATTCCTTTTGGAAGAGCAGGTGATTAAAGTTTATTAATTAATAGATGTTGTGAGGAGGAGCAGGCTGTGTCCTGCTGCCTGGCTATCTTAACCCTCGAAATAACCACGCGGAAATTGTATTAATTAAATTACCGACTGGCCCATTATCTCTAGCCTCTTATTGGCTAACTCTCACATCTTGATTTAATCCATTTCCATTAACGTGTATTGCCACTTGACTGTGGCTTACCGGCATGAGTCTAACCAGCGTCCTTCTCGGGCAGAAGAATCATGGCATCTGCCACTCTGCCCTTCTTCCCAGGATTCTGTTCTGTCTACTTTGCCCGCCTAAGGGCTGCCCTATCAAAAGGCCAAGTCAGTTTCTTTATTCAACCAATGAAAGCAATGTAACTACAGAAGGACCTCCTACACCAAATAGAAAACATGGACTTTTTCTGTTTCATTCTTCCTGGTTTTCTATGCTTTCCAAATGTTATTTAGTGAATATGTCCAATAAAGCAAGCAACAGGCATTTGAAATGCAAGTGCCAGCATTTATCAGGTGTGGTACATTATGTCCTGAAGATGTGACAGGTGTTTATATTTAGAAGTGGTAGAGTTCGAAATAGGTCACAATGGCCAGCTCAAATATTCATTAACATTAAGTTGCTTCTCTAAGGGCTGGAAGTCCTTATTTGTATAATTATATTGAAGTAATTTGGTAGAGCACTCACTCGTCTGATTTAATGATCTCAGTACTAGTATCATTAGAGGTTCTTAGGATGGGTGTGTATTGTTTTCATACTAGTTAATTTTCCTGAGCTGCAAATAGCCAAGTATTGCTAGGCAATGTGGGTTGAATGAGAAGTCCAACATGGGCTCCTTTGTTTGAAGACCTGGTCCCCAGTTGATGGAACAGTTTGGGAAAGATTAGGTGGTGTGGCCTTATCCAAGGAGGTGTGTCAGTAAGGGCAGATTTTGAGGGTTCTCTGCCTTCTGCTTCAAGGCACAAGCTCTTATCTACTACCTCAGTGCCATGCCTGCTGCCTGCTCTCTACTTCCTGCTCCCCACTGCCATGCTCCCTCCCATAATGATCATGGACTCACACTGTAAGCTATAAGCCCCCAATAAACTCTTCTATAGATTGCCTTGGTCATGGTTTCTTGTCTTGGGCATAAGAAAGTAACTAAGATGGTAGGGTACTCCTTTAATCCCAGAATACAGGAGGCCAAGAAGTGAAGATGGCAAGTTTGAGGCCAGCGTTGGTACATATGTATAGTAAGGCCTTCACCTTGAAAATAAAAGTTTAGCATGTGCTGAGACGGGATTAATTATAAACTTTGGGAAAAAAACAACAGTAAAAAATTCAATATATGTTTCAGAAGCATTATTAATCTGGTCCTGTTACTGCCTCCCTCCCTTTCTCCCTTCCTCCTCCTCCTCCTCCTCCTTCTTCTTCTTCTTCTTCTTCTTCTTCTTCTTCTTCTTCTTCTTCTTCTTCTTCTTCTTCTTCTTCTTCTTCTTCTCTCTCTCTCTCTCTCTCTCTCTCTCTCTCCCTCTCCCTCCCTCTCTCTCTCTCTCACTCATTCTCTCTCTCTCGTGTATATGTGTGTGTGTGTGTGTCTGTCTGTCTGTCTGTCTGTCTGTCTACGTAGTAGTACTTTCAAGTTCCAGAAAAAAGTGCCAGATCCCCATGGAACTGGAGTTACAGGCAGGTGTGAACTGTCTAATATGAGTACTGGGAACTGAACTCCGGTTCGCAAGAATAGTGACTGCTCTTAACCACTGAGCTACCTGCCCTGTCCCCTCCACCTTTTAAAAGAGTTTCTTTTTATTTATGTGTAGGAGGGTGCAATATGAGCATCTGCAGAGGCCAGAAAAGTGCTTGAGTTACAGGTGATTGTGAACCACCACATGTGGGTGCTGGGAATCAAACTCTTGTCCTCAGCAAGAAAAAATCTTAAGGGCTGAGGCCTCTCTCTGGCTACCTCTTTTGCAATTAATTTTACTTAATTTTAAAACTTTTCTATATATTATCACAGCCCTTGAAGACTAGGAGAGTTAAATTCCCATTTTACATAGGGACAGATTTTTACAGAGGTATTGAAAACAGATATCCAATGAACAGTTATAGCTAATAAGTAACTGCTATCATAGCCTCAAAAAGCACAGGGTTTGCAAGGACTCAGTCTTCTCACCCCAGACTCTTTATATCCCTCACAACTGCTTAAAATGGCCCATCCATTCTTCAGTGTAGCTTTGTCAAGGGCTGAGCCAGCATCTTACTAGCTTATCTCTCTTTCCTCCCCTCCATTTCTTCCCCTCCCCTCCCCCCTTTTCTCCCTGGCATTCCTCGAGTAATATTTCGAACAATCTTATTGCATGTGCACACCACAATTAAAATAATTATCTAATCTTTGTAATTTATGCTCATAAAGAAAGAGATACACTGGTCCCCAAGAAACCATTCTGGTCTCTGTGGAACAAAATTAAATATTTTTCCCTAAACTTCAATTAATCTTTTGTCCTCATTTGTGAACATGTTGTTTCAATACAACACGATGCTTAGATTACAATTTAGCTTTCCAAGCACTGTACCAGATATTAGATACATAAATTTTGCTGTTAGATATTAAGCCTTTACTTTGCTTCAGATGTCTGAGGTCTATATTGCAAATAAACCTGATATAAGATCAACCTGTTAGCACTAGAAACTGATTTTTTTTTTTGTCTTTGCTTCTGCCCTGAAATCTTGTAGAAAGGCCAGTTCCTTTGTTTGGGTCTAGCCTATTTTGACTTTTTTAGGTAGGGATTTTAGGATGACCATGAAAATGTGATTCCTTGCACAGTTAAGAGTTCAGAAACAGAAGCCAGAGCGACCTGGGATCATGTTCCTTCCACAGCTTTTGCTGGTTGTGTGCCCTCCAGTAATGTTGTCTAAGACATCACTTCCTCCTCAGCAAACTGGGGTGACTATAGTGTCGGCCTCTCATGATGATTAACATGATGATGGTCTGTACAATGTGCCTAATACGCTGCTTCATTCATGGAGAACATCAAACACACATGTGGTGAGTGGTATTCTTGAGAAAATCACCCAAAAAGACAAAAAGGCAAAAGAACCCTCGGCCTTGTATGAGAAGGGCAAACCTGCTACTGGTGTCTTTGGGGACCGACAGCTCAGAGTGTGTGGTAGGAATGAAGGTGGTGATGTTTGTGCTGAATAAGACCTAACCTAGTCTGCAAAGTTCCAGATCATTCATTTCCTCATTAAAAAAAAATATTCATGTCTTTGGTATTTCATGGTAGCTCCTTATTTTCTACAGCAAAGCTCATTTTTTTTTTTTTGATTTTGTACCAGCAGGCTAGTGAGTAGGAAATTAAGGTAGAGTGTACTTTCTCAAAGGTTTTCTTCTTTTTCCTTCTTCCTTTTCATTTTATATCCTTCCCTTTCCTTTCTTGTCTTCCCTCCCTCTCTCTTTCCCTGCCTTCCTCCCTCCCTTCCTTTCTTGAGATGAAAGAACAAGGACTTTCTGGAACAAATGAATGTTTACATGCTATTTTAATCTGCTTTTCGGTGCTCTGCAGTTCCTGTAGATCTAGAGGCCTGGACTACTGCAGATCTCTCTGCCATGTAAGATGCAGTCTCTGCCTTGCTGCCTAGCACCATGGGCTTGGGAGAAGCAAAGCTCCATTTGGGGTTTCATCTGTCTCTCAGAGGAGCTTTGCTGACAAGGCCTGTTAGATATAGATAGGAAGTTATGCATGACTCACCAGTGTGTGTGTGTGTGTGTGTGTGTGTGTGTGTGTGTGTGTGTGTATTTGTGTTGTGGGGACCAGAGGTCAACCTTGGGTGTCATTCCAAGGAGCCAACTCTCTTGTTTTTTGAGAGAAGGTCTCTCACTGACAACTAGGGATGCCTGGATTTGGCTAGGCAGGTTGGTGACTAAGCCCATTTCTGCTTCTCCAAACATACACTGTCTAACACAACGTTTTACATGGGTTCTAGGACTCAAACTTGGGTCTTCAAGCTTACACAGCTTTATCACTTTATCATCTGAGCTATCCTCAGCCCTGGATTTTCTTTTTAACATTTTCCCTTTTATTTGTGTGTTTATGTGCATAGGTGCACATGGTCAAGGAAGCTCAGAGAATTTATTTTAGGAGTTGTTATCTCCTTCCACTGTTGTAGGTTCTGTTAATTGACCTCATGCTGAAAAACCTGAAAGCAAGTCTTCTTACCTGCTGAAATGTATTGTAGCAAAAGTACTTTTTTCCTTACTATTTATCCTTTAAATAACACTTTTAACTGATTCTTCGATAACTAGCAATTTCATTATTTTTTTGATAATTTCATACAGTGTATTTTCTTTATCAGCTTCTCTCCCAGCTCCTCCCAGCTCCACCCTCAGCTCCCTACTCACACAACTATATGTTCCTTTTTTCCTATTTTCTTTTAAGATCATTGAACCCTGTTTGTGTAGCCCCCAGTACTCCCGGAGTGGGACCAGTTCCTAGTTCTCCTCCCAGATAGTATCGAATGCTAGTATTTCCTTTGTTAGGCACGTGACAATGTGCTCATTCTCCCTCCATGCTGGCTGATGCTTGTGTAGGTCTTATTCGTTCTGTGGCAACCACTGTGAGTTCATCTCTATAACTGACCTGCTGGGTCTGGTACACACTGTCTCTTTATACTCATCTTTAACCTCTGGCTCTTGCAATCCTTCTGTCTCCTCTTCCCTGATGATGCTTAAGCTTTGAGGGGAGACATGTGATATACGTGTATAATTGAGGGCTGAGTATTCTGTAGTATCTTATTCTCTGTACCTTGGCCAGTTGTAGGTCTAGGTTTCAATTGCCATCTCAAGAATAAGCCTTTCTGATGAGGATTAAAAGGGGCACTAATCTATAGGTATAGCAGTAAGTCATTAGGAGTTGGTTTAATACTATTTCCAATTAGCATACTAATAGTAGTAAGTTCTTCCCTAGAGTCTATAATCTGTGTAGGCATAGGTTCTTTTCCAGGTTTTGGTGACAAGTATAGTTTACTGTAGGTTTAAATCTAATTAGAAAGTGGTTGGTTATTCCCATAACATTTGTGTCACAACTGCACCAATGGGCACGTCTTGTCAGGCTAGTCTTTAGCAAGCTTCACAGAGTTCACAACTGCCTTAGATCGATGTTTACCTTGGCCTCCTGGTAGCATCCATTAGCACCTTCCAGCACCATGGAAACGAGCAAGTAGGGGTGAAGCTCCGAGGTCACTACCATCTTGACTTCTCCAAGTATATGATTCAAGTATGTCAGCAACAGGGTCTTACTGTGGAATTCTGAAGGACAGTCAGAAACAGGAAATAGCTATTGGCCAACAGCTCCAAAAGAGGCAGCCTATCTCTGGCACTGGGTTTTTCATTTGCTGGCCTGTGGTGTTAAGCAGAGGTATTGTCCCCTTCAAGACAACTCCATTTAAACTCTTTCATGCTATGAATCTATTTTAGGAAGATTACATAATAGGTGGTTTCCATTTGACTTTTTTTCCAAAATGCATTTAGAGTTAAATAACATCGTATTAAAAATAATTTAAAAATCCTATCCGCTACAGTGCCTTCATCTCTTATCTCCACGTATAACAGACATCTCGGTCATTTTTGTTTTAGGCCTTGCTAGAATTTCTCCAAAGAATCATTGACAATAAAGAGAAGAATAAAATGACAGTTGTAAATGTAGCAATGGTCATGGCCCCGAACCTCTTCATGTGCCATACGCTGGGTTTGAAGTCCAGTGAACAGCGAGAATTTGAAATGGCAGCTGGGACGGCAAGTGTCATGCATTTATTGATTAAGTACCAGAAACTTCTATGGACAGTAAGTATACGTTTTTAGCTTAAATTTTCAGGTCAGTGTGCAAAGTCTTGAGTTTCATAATGACCTTTTCATACATATTTCTCATAGTACTTTTTTTTTTTAACTCATGCCTGCTTTTCTTCTGGCAGATTCTCTCCTCTCCTTCCAGTTGGTATCCCGTTGGTATTCTCTTTTATCCTTTTATTGTATGCATCCCATAATCCTCCTTTCTCCTCTCCTGTAAGACCTCTTCCCTTTCTCCCATCATTCTTTTTCTGATATGCATGGACATTCACACACACATTTATTAGACCCCAACTTTTAGATCTAGGGTCCTCATATAAGAAAAACGTTGTATTTTTTCAAAACCACAATAATGGTCATGTAATTTCCTAGCATAATTGTCCAAAATAATCATGAAAACATCAACTTTATAAAGTTGATATTTAAAAGCAATGGGCTCCCCGCCCCCAATGGCTTAAAAACACACTGCGTGCTGTCTGCCAGCTTTGTAAGATTCCCATTGCCGTGTGTGAGTGGAGAGGTATTGCAGGCGTTTTATTCACAGAGGTAAGCAGGGCCTTGCGAATTTCTTTTTTAAAATCATAAAAATTCGGTCAAGAAAGCATGCCTCGTAAAAGGCTCTTCGTGGGCAGTGCCATCAGCACGTTTCCCCATTTGCTCCGTCCTCAGGCTGTCACGTTTTAAAGAGCTCATGCTGTTTCTGCTCCCATCATCCCCTAATTTTCCACAGAACTGTTATTTAAAGGGACATGCACATTCTGCACTCCGATTGCTGAGGTCTCGAATGCAGTTTCCTGCTTTGCTCTTACGTTGATCTTAAGTTTTGACAGGTAATCAACATGGATGTTAATGAGAGATTTAGTTGATTAGTTTCATTTTTCAATGAAATTCATATATTTGCAGACAAAGAGTCCTTTTTGCAAGCATTTAGAAAAATGAACTAAAGAAATTCTACGCCAAATTATGATAGTAACCATTTTGAAGCTTAATGTGAGCCTCTCCTAATTCCAATATTTTTTAAAAATGCAAAATGATGCTTCCTAGACTCTCAAGGCTTTTTATATTCAACCCAAAGGCAAATGATGCAGCTTATTTCAAATATATTTAAAGTAATGCTCCATTATCATGTCTGCCTCTTGTAAGAGCAACATTATTTTATAGTTACGTTTTAACTGTCTAAAAGATTTTGTTCTTAATATAATTTCTAAGGATAAGTTTCTCTTATCTTTAGAAGTATAGTATATCTTTAGAAGTGCTGCTAGCCAATTTTTGGCTTTTGTTGACTGGTGAGCTTTTTTTCTTATCTGACAGAGGAGGCCATCTGGATTATTAGAAGGGACTTGTAGGTTAGCTTATAGGAGCTGGAGAGAGGTGGTTGCTAAGGGGACAACTACAGAGGTAGTGGCCTCCACAAGGGTCTCCTCAGGGAATCTCCTGTGTTGACATCCATGGCGAGGACGTGGCCAGTATGTCCTTGAACTTCACAGAGTCCCCTTTGCACCTTTGCACAGTTGGTGGTAAATTACATCAAGTGGATGCCCTGTCCCTGGTCTAAGTAAGTCCATGGTTCATTTCTTCTCGCAGAGTTAATGAACGGCACATTTAAGGGGCTTAGTCTTGAGAAACAGAACATTTATTCCTCTTGAAACTAAAAACGTGGAAAAGAAAACAGTATTTAATTTAAAATGGTTCTGTGCCTTTTATGGTTTACTTTCCTCCTCAAACGGAATTTCTTTTTCCCCTAGATTCCAAAGTTTATTGTAAACCAAGTGAGGAAGCAAAATACTGAAAATCAGAAAAAGGAAAGGAGAGCCATGAAGAAATTGCTGAAGAAAATGGCTTATGACCGAGAAAAACATGAAAAGCAAGAGAAAGCTGCAAATGATGTAAGGAAATCTTGACGGTCTTTTGTTACTGTGATTGAAGTAATTTCACTGGATGGCTTTCTCCCATTTATGGGGCCTTGGTAATGCTCGTACGTGGAAGATACCAGCTCCTTATTTTCTAATAATCAATACTGAAAGTTGGTCAGGTGCTGGCACTCATCATGTGGTTTAATAATGGTGAACAAAGAGAATATGTCAAGAGAAGACTGTTGCCTGCACACATGCACGCGCGCACACACGCACATGCGCACACACACATACACACACTCTCTCTCTCTTCACATAGTCTAGATGCCTCTGATTTTATGATATATAGTGAGTGAAATTCCTCTGCACTCCACTAACCTGTTTCATCCATGAGAATTTACCCAGACTTCACGGAGCTGGGGATATCTTGGTCTTAGACCTTTGTAAGTATTTAAGATTTGTAATTTGGTAAGAGACGAAATTCTGTAGAGACAAAAATTAAGATTAAAAAACCCATCATTTTCCAACTGCGGTGAGACTACATGAAGAACCGTGTTTACAATAATGAAGTATGCATGAGAATATATTTACGAATTGAGTTAACAAAGCTCCGGTGGCAGCTCTCAGGCCGAAGAAAAGGCCTTCTATTGTTCTACTTAAGGGAAAACACCCCTCACCCCAGCTGAAGATGCTCAGTTACATGCTGACATCTTGTGGAATACCACGAAAATGCAATGGCCAGCCTTTGTCCAATTTTTCTGCCTTGGCTTGCTTAGCCATGATTCCCAAAAAATATTATTTTTTTTCTCTTAAACTTATCTGTAACTCTCTTAAAAAATACTTTCTTAGAGATGTAGGAAATATTTTTAAAACCAATTTTAAGGATCTCCAAAAGACACACAGTATAAAAAAGGGAAATTATCAATGTTGTTTATTTTTTTTTTTTTAGAGCTTATTTTTTGTCATAGGGCCAGAAAGGATTTGTGACATACCTGTTTTCTTTCACTTCAGAATGCTCTGTTAACTTCAAACACAGTTGTAAAGAGGGGACTGGGCTTGTAGTTCTGGCTGTTCAAATTAAGTGAGCATCTATGTATTACCTCTTCCTTTTCTGAAAACTCACATAGTTAGCAAAATGCTGCTGATCCAAGATACCAAACCTCAGTCCTCTGTTAGGTATTCAAAAAGGTCCAAAGCCGCTGTTGGCCTTCGCACCCCCATACAGAAGCAGGTAGCTCAGATTAATTTGGTTGTGTGTGATGGAAGCTTGCCCGAGGTATGGTAGACTAGGAAGCAGGAAGTTGACCTTAGAGAGACTTTAGTGGGGACTCCAACTCAGTTGTGAAAACCAGTCAATCTGCCAGAGGTTAGAATTGCTGCCTGCAGAGGAAGGATCACCACCTCCCCTTGGTGCCCAGTTTAGCTTGTCCTTTGGGTTGACAACTTTTAACTTAATTCCAGAAATTTATTTTGCAGATTGGTATCTTTTTCTTGGAATCATAGGCACAGGAAAAAGTTACAAAGATCAAACAAAAGTAGAAAATGAAAGTGACTTGCATACACGTGCTTTCTTGTGAAAGCATCCATCCATTGCTAGAGTAGAAAGACTAAAAGATTGAAAACAAGTTTTGGACTAGATTTTGGGACAAATAGGCCATAGGGACAGCCTGTCCCTTAGGCCATAGGGGTTGTCTTGCAAGTGCCTGGCTCTGCAACTGAGGCACTGTGGGCCGCCTCACCCCCACGTCTCTGTCTTTTGTCACTTTACTGGCTTGGTTTTTCTTCCAAACAATGTGAATGTGTAGCCCAGCACCTAAATGGTAAGGCTGGCCACTGCCTGAACTGTGCTCTTTGTTTAAGCCATTACTCACATTGCCGCTCACATTGTTCTTAGGTGTTTGGTATTTGAAAGACATTATTGGACAAAATAGGCTAACAACATCCCTACTCCACATGGAAGCTAACATTATTTAAGTAACATAAATAGATTACATAGCATTTTGCTATGTGGTATGAGCAAGATTTAAATATATGTGTCTCTGTGTGTTTATATAGTAGAGAGAGAGAGAAAGAGAGAGAGAGAGAGAGAGAGAGAGAGAGAGAGAGAGAGAGAGAGAGAGAGAGAGAAACGAATATGTGATCATCCAGGAGCCCCAACTGTGGTCCAGGGATGACCTGGAACTCACAACTAGCAGAAGATAACTTTGAGCTTCTGCTCAGCTGGGAGTTGGGGGTGGAGGTTGTTCATGTTAAATACACTCTACCCGCAGAGCTAGGTCACCAGCACCCCCCTCTTTAGTGTTATTATAAAATGTTGTGAATATAGCAAACACAAGGTTTCTCTCATTGAATTGACCATCTCACTGGCAGCAATTTTCTTGATGAATGCGTGGACCATAGTTTCTTCTCACCACTGAATTCTCTTCTATCCATGGTACCCAAGAACCATTTAGACTAATTATCCTTTCGCAAAAATTAAATATTTCAGTTTGCTTCAGATGCAAAGTATCTGAAGGAATAGGGAACTAAGAACCGAGTCTCACCATGAGACCCCCACTGACCTGACCACTCCCTGTGCAAACCAGGTTGACTCGGAACACACAGACACCCACCTGCCTCTGCCTCCCTAGTGACGGCATTAAAGGCCTATGCTATCATACCTAGCTTAAAATATCTTTAAAGAAATACGAATAGAAAAAGAATTTGGAGAGGATCCTCTTGCCACATTACTTTAGCTAGCTTGAGTGTTGAATAACAGTGTTGTAACAGGTATGGAAGGTCAAGTTGTGTGTCTGTCTCAGAAAGCCCATTCAGGGCAGAGGCATAGTCTACCAAGCATAAGGCTAGGGCACTAGCATGGTGTGGATGGGCTGGAGTAAAGCCAGCTTGCCAGCACGGTTGATAAGATAAGGTCAGAAGGGCACTGGGAAGAGATCACCTAAAGCTTTAGAATTTAAATTTAATCAAAGAAAAATGAGGTCATTTATGAAATCTGTAGGATGTTTTAGAATGAGTGGTACTTAAAAGTAGGAGAAAATCCTTATAACCAAGGTGAGAGACTCAGACCAAAGTATCTGTGGAGTAGTTGATATATTTTAAAGACATTTTAAATAACTTTTAAAAATAAAATTATATTTTTAAGTTAGAGTCATTTGGACTTCTTACTGGCAAATGATGTAAGTTATAAAAGAATGAAAAAAAAAGTAAAAGAATGACTAACCCCAAATTTATGATATGAAAGATTGGAGTGATAGGAAAGATCATAATTTCAATTGGGACCTGTTTAGTATGGGATACCTGGTAGTCATTTAAAGGTAAGGGCGGATGTTTAATGCACTTTGGAGGGCAAATCAGGACCTATTGATCAGCTGGAGAGGTACCCGGCATGCCAGGGTCAGTGGGAAAGCTCAAGGCAGATCCATGCTTCTGTTCTGTGTAGCAGTGGGAATTGGCACAGGCTGAGTCTCCAGATTACTCATTTGTATTTGCATTTTAGGACAGTCCTTGTGAGGGACACACCAAATACTGCAGAGAGAGAAGGCTTGTTCAATAAAGGTGCTTGCTGCTGTAAGCCAGTGGTACCTCTAGAGCATTGTCAGTAACCTGATGGTACAGCCGGATAGCTGGGCCTTGGAGAATGAAAGACCAATTTAAAGATACTATGCATGCCCTTAAAGCTAAATATACGACAGCAGGCATTCATGTTATTAAGATATGCTTGACTAGATAAACGAGTACTTTGATCCAAGTTGTAAGATAGATATTCAATTTACCTAAATAAGACAAATGTTTTAAGGACTCCAGCATATTAATTATTTGGTGTGAATGTGAATGTGCTTAAATTCTATTAAGTTTTGTCCACTAATTATAACAGGAGAAATCAATAGCAAGATTGTAGACCATGAAACATAATCATTTTCTGATAGCATTTAACTTGTTGGGGTCCTGCTTTCTCCATGTACCCATTTTTGATGTATGCACATCTATGTATTGAATTGTATTGGGGGATTTTGTGAAGAGGGAAGTGAGGTTTCTATTTAGGCAGTTGGTGTACCATTGCATTATACCCCAAATATGCATCTTTTCCAACATTGAAAAAGTAGAAACAATAGCCTTTGAGCCCCAACATCAAATCTTTTTACTTTACTCTTCTTCCAACCTGTTCCACACACTTTATCTCCTTTTAGTCTCTTTATGCTAATCACAGACATCCCGTGATGCCACCCATAATTACCTCGGATGGCCTCTGTCTAATGAGGATGTAGGGGCAGCTTTGATGATCACTTACCGACAAATTGCCGAAGCTCCTAGGCTTCGTTTCCAGTGTAGGCTTTGATTTACGTGATCTTTCCTCTGCCTTCCCTGCTCACCTCCTAGAGGGAAGCTGGACTTTTATGAGCCTGTGTGGGCTGTGAGAGTCTGCGATCCCCAGTGCTACTCCACTTGTGGTCCCATTGGCTTAGGAAGCCAAAATTCTCATAGTGTCATCAACTTAAATGTTCACTCTGGTTGACCTAGCTTCAGGCTCTAAAGTGGGGCTTGGGTTTGGGGATGGTTATATGATTTTCCTAAAAGCCCTGCAGTATCTTGTAAGGGTTTCAGGTTTAGAGAATCAAGCCGGAGAATGCTGCAGTTAACTGAGTAGCATGAAGGCTCCGGTGGTTTGTGCAGACATGAGCCACAGCTTTTCTTGGCAAGTACTGGGATTTAATTCTGACGCTTTTAACCGTAGCACCATTGCAAGTATTAGTTCTAGTACCTACTTTTTAGGGCAACAGGTCTGGCTTAACTCGGAGATGCATACGGAAAACGAAGTCAAATATCTTCTTTCATGGTATGACTCACTCTGATCTTAAATAGAGCATAAAAGAAATGAAAGAAAAACATTAGGACTTACTTCACTGTGAACTAAATGCTTATCAACTTCTGTAAATTATTAGGGCAATTTCTGAATCTATGAGTCAGATTAAAGTTTAAGGCATTGTGATAACAAAGACAACATTTGGAGTGCTGTTAAGATAGTAGAAGATCTT